AAACAAAATAAATAAATAAAAGCATAAACTACATACAATAAACAAAAATATAAAATATTAGACACATACAAAATAAATAAAAATGTAAACTATATACAATAAAAATATAAATTAAATGTACAAATAAAATAGATAAATAGAAACGTAATCTATATAAAATAAAATGTAAATAATAATTAGATAGATACAAAATAAATTAATAAAATATATACAATAAATAAAAAAAGGAATATGAAAATGGCCTCGCAGGATGGGGCACCCTCCAAAACCCTTGGGTCCACTGCTTCTGGATGCAAAAAATTAAGGTCAGTTCCCATTATTGGGGATCAATGATTAACTGGCCTCTCTTTCCATATTGAAAGGGGCCTGCCTGGTAGATAGCAGGGGCTTCTGGGCTCCTTCCTCCTCCTCCTCCTCCTTTGGAGGGGCTTCTTCCTTCCTGCCTTCCTTCCTTCCTTCCTTCAGATCTTCCCGGGTTGTTTTTTGATGTGTTTGGGGACAAACTGGAAGGACAAAAGACCCCTTGAAAGCGGCGGCTGCTGCCTAAACTCCATGGAGGTGTCAATGGGAGCCGCACACGCCGCCAGAGGACACACAAAAGGACAACCAGATCCTACCAATGGAGGACCCCCCCCTTTTTTTTTCTTTCTTTTTTCACATTCAGAAAACACAAACCAATTGGTTTGGCATTTACAAGCCCCAAACAAATGTCCAGGCCTCTTTCATCTCTTGGAAAGGAACAAGAGTTTTTGCAAAACTAAATTCACATATATATATATACAAACACACACATATATAGCACAAAATTCACACAGACACACACACACACACACACACACATATATACACCAGGTATGATGCTTCAGATTGTTTTCAAATTTTGGAATGCTTCCATATAATGTGATAGCACAAAATTCACACACACACATACATACATACATACACTTGGTATGATATTTCAGATTGCTTTCAGGTTTTGGAATATTTGCCAGCCCAAATATGCACATATATATACACTTATATAGCACAAAATTCATACACACGCACACACACACATATATACATACACACACACATATATATATACATGCACACATACATGTGCATACAGACACCTGGTATATTTCAGAATGTTTTCAGGTTTTGGAATATTTATCAGCCCAAATATTCACATATATATACACTTATATAGCACAAAATTCACACACACTCGCACACACATATATACATATATACATACACACATATATATACATGCACACATACATGTGCATACGGACACCTGGTATGATATTTCAGAATGTTTTCAGATTTTAGAATATTTATCAGCCCAAATATTCACACACATACACACACACACACACATACTAAAGCCGGTGCTTTGCTTCTAAAGTGTTTCTAAAGTTCTGGTTTAGAACTCTAACAAAACTTTCAAAATTTCAGTAACATTTCGTTATTGGTGATTTTTATGAAAGAACCAGTTAGGAATTGCCATTTATAACAACATTTTGCAAGTTTTGTTAGAGTTCTGAAATTTTTTCCACCAGAACTTTAGAAACACTTTAGAAGCAAAGCACCTGTGCCCCCAAATTTTATAGGTACTTTAGAACCATTTAGAACCATGGATTGCCCATGCCTAATACATACATATACACACATATACACACACATATGGGCTGCCTGCCAGGTAGGTGCCAAGTTTTCACAAAAGCTCTCCAGTATTTCCAGTTGGTCATGGACAACGTCCTTACAGACTACCAATTCTCTCACACCAGAAGTGACTTGCAGTTTCTCAAATCGCTCCTGACACGACAAAAAAAAAGGTCATTGGAGTTCTGCATGCCAAGTTTGGTTCAATTCCATTCTTGATTCAGTTCCGAATACTTTTTTTTATTGCAGGTGCAACTATAACTCCCAAAAGTCTGGGCCAATTTTCCCCAAAGCTCTCCAGTATTTTCTCTTGGTCGTGGGAGTTCTGTCTGCCAAGTTTGGTCCAATCCCCTTTTTGGTTGAGTTCAGAATACTTTTTTATTGCAGGTACAACTCCAAGCAACTGCAACTCTCAAATGTCAAGGTCAATTTTTTCTACCAGTGTTCAAATTTGGGCATATTGAGTATTCGTGCCAAGTTTGGTCCAGATCCATAGTTGTTTAGGTTCACCTTGCTCTCTGCATGTAGAACTACATCTCCCTTAAATCCCTGTCATAGAATCATAGAATAGAATCAAAGAGTTGGAAGAGACCTCCTGGGCCATCCAGTCCAACCCCTTTCTGCCAAGAAGCAGGAATATTGCATTCAAATCACCCCTGACAGAATGGCCATCCAGCCTCTGTTTAAAAGCTTCCAAAGAAGGAGCCTCCACCACACTCTGGGGCAGAGAGTTCCACTGCTGAACGGCTCTCACAGTCAGGAAGTTCTTCCTCATGTTCAGATGGAATCTCCTCTCTTGTAGTTTGAAGCCATTGTTCCGTCCTAGTCTCCAGGGAAGCAGAAAACAAGCTTGCTCCCTCCTCCCTGTGGCTTCCTCTCACATATTTATACATGGCTATCATATCTCTCTCACCCTTCTCTTCTTCAGGCTAAACATGCCCAGCTCTTTAAGCCGCTCCTCATAGGGCTTGTTCTCCAGACCCTTGATCATTTTAGTCGCCCTCCTCTGGACACATTCCAGCTTGTCAATATCTCTCTTGAATTGTGGTGCCCAGAATTGGACACAATATTCCAGATGTGGTCTAACCAAAGCAGAATAGAGCATGGGGAGCAGGACTTCCCTAGATCTAGACACTATGCTCCTATTGATGCAGGCCAAAATCCCATTGGCTTTTTTTGCCGCCACATCACATTCCTGGCTCATGTTTAACTTGTTGTCCACGAGGACTCCAAGATCTTTTTCACACGTACTGCTCTCGAGCCAGGCATTGTCCCCCATTCTGTATCTTTGCATTTCGTTTTTCCTGCCAAAGTGGAGTATCTTGCATTTGTCATTGTTGAACTTCATTTTGTTAGTTTTGGCCCATCTCTCTAATCTGTCAAGATCGTTTTGAATCCTGCTCCTGTCCTCTGGACTATTGGCTATCCCTCCCAATTTGGTGCAGTCAATTCCTCCCAAACCCCTCCAGTATTTTCTGTTGGTCATGGGGGTTCTGTGTGGCAAGTTTGATTCAGGAGTGTAATATGTGGGGGTCTACCTCTGTACATGGCATTCATTGACCTTGCAAAGGCATTTGACACAGTAAATCGCAGCGCTCTCTGGACCGTCCCCCCCAAAATCTGGTGCCCTGACAAATTTCTGAACATCCTGCAGCTCCTCCGTGATTTATTTTATGTATTTTGTTTTATCTATTTATTTTATTATTATTTATTTATTTCATTTCTTATTTAATGATTTATTTTATTTATCGTGTCAGGAGCAAAACAAGCAGTTATTTATTTATTTATCGTGTCCTCCACAACCAGAACATTGTATTACATTTCTAACAGGACAAAACAAACAAACAGATTTTAAAAACCCACAAATTTTGCAAACATGGTAGTTGCTTAAATGTCCTTTGACCAGTATCCGGCCACTTGGAGTGCCTCTGGTGTTGCCGCAAGGAGGTCCTCCCTTGTGCATCATGTGGCAGGGCTCAGGGTGCATTGCAGCAGGCGGTCTCTGGTTTGCTCTTCTCCACACTCGCATGTCATGGACTCCACTTTGTGGCCCCATTTCTGAAGGTTGGCTCTGCATCTCGTGCTGCCCGAGCGCAGTCTGTTCAGCGCCTTCCAAGTCGCCCAGTCTCCTGTGTGCCCAGGGGGGAGTCTCTCATCTGGTATCAGCCACTGGTTGAGGTTCAGGCTAAACATGCCCAGCTCATTAAGCCGCTCTTCATAGGGCTTAAAATTAGTTTCGTTGCTACTTCATCACTGTCATTTTGCTCCTGCTACGATTCATAACAGGAGCAAAATGACAGTGATGAAGTAGCAACGAAACTGATTTTAAGCCCTATGAAGAGCGGCTTAAGGAGCTGGGCATGTTTAGCCTGAAGAAGAGAAGGCTGAGAGGAGATATGATAGCCATGTATAAATATGTGAGAGGAAGCCACAGGGAGGAGGAGGGAGCAAGCTTGTTTTCTGCTTCCTTGGAGACTAGGACGCAATGGAACAATGGTTTCGAACTACAAGAAAGGAGATTCCATCTCATCTGAACATGAGGAAGTACTTCCTGACTGCGAGAGCCGTTCAGCAGTGGAACTCTCTGCCCCGAGGAAGTCATAGGGAAGAGGGAGCAAGCTTGTTTTCTGCTTCCTTGGAGACTAAGACGCAAGGGAACAATGGCTTCAAACTACATGAGAGGAGATTCCATCTGAACACAAGGAAGAACTTCTTGACTGTGAGAGCTGTTCAGCAGTGGAACTCTCTGCCCCGAGGAAGTCATAGGGAAGAGGGAGCAAGCTTGTTTTCTGCTTCCTTGGAGACTAAGACGCAATGGAGCAATGGCTTCAAACTACAAGAGAGGAGATTCCATCTGAACATTAGGAAGACCTTCCTGACTGTGAGAGCCGTTCAGCAGTGGAACTCTCTGCCCCAGAGTGTGGTGGAGGCTCCTTCTTTGGAAGCTTTGAAACAGAGGCTGGATGGCCATCTGTCAGGAGTCATTTCAATGCAACATTCCTGCTTCTTGGCAGAATGGGGTTGGACTGGATGGCCCAGGAGGTCTCTTCCAACTCTAGGATTCTATGGTTGGGGGTCACCGCAACATGAGGAACTGTATTCAGGGGTCACGGCATTAGAACCACTGTTCAAACTTAACCAGGCCTAGAAATACAGCCTGGCCTGCCTTCCTGGATCTCTTCCATTTGGAATGAAGAAGCTCCCGGCCTCGAACCGCCCTCCCGAGGCTTCGGATGTTTCCGGATGGAACTCCCCACCGCGGGATTCCAGAGTAAGGTCGGCGCCTTTCCGCTAGGCGCTGTGCGCATGCGTGGTGGCGTCTTCTTCTTCTTCTTCTTGGCGCATGCGCGGGAGGAGGGGAAGGGAGGGGGAGGCGGCGATGAGCGTGCTGCTCCCCAACATGGCGGACTTCGACACCATCTATGAACTGGAGGAGGAAGAGGAGGAGGAGGGGGAAGAGGGAGGCGAGCAGCGCGGCCCGGGGCGGCCCCTGCCGGTCTCTCCGCCCGAGGGAGAGGGCCAGGCGGCGCGGAGGGCCGGCCCCGAGCTGCCCCGGCCCCGCGACGCCCCGGAGCCCGTCGCCGTGAGGGGAGCCGGGCACCTCACCGTGTAAGCGGGCGGGGGGCGGGGCCAAGAGCGGGGGCGGGGCTTCGGGGAGGGGGCGGGGCCTGGCAACCTTCAGCCTCAGCACTGAATAGCAACAACAATAATAATAATAGCTGGATCTTAGAGGAAGGCAGCAGGGAGTTCCAGAAACTATATTTATTTAATAGCCGTGTGGGAGGATTGGCCCAATTCTATCATTGGTGGGGTTCAGAATGCTCTTTGATTGTAAGTGAACTATAAATCCCAGCAACTACAACTCCCAAATGTCAAAATTCTATTTCCCCCAAACTCCAACTGTGTTTATATTTGGGCATATGGAATATTCGTGGCAAGTTTGGTCCAGATCCATCCTTGTTTGAGTGCACAGTGATCTCTTTTGACAATCAGCTGTTTCTCTAAAATTATATTCTCAAAACTTAAGAGGTTATTCCCTGAGCGTAGAAGCCCGAAATGCAAAAAGCGAGATATCAGATAGTGTTAAGATTTAGCCAGGAAAAATATGCCATTGAAACGGAGGCGATCCACCATCTCGTGGATACGGGGCCCCCCTGGGGGTTTCTGTATCCACGGTTTGGAGGAGCTCAGATTTGGCCTCACCATAACACCTGGAAGGCATTCCGGGTAGGCCTGCAGTCTCCCGCAGCCTGGGAAAGTTTAGTTTCATGCATTTGGATAGTTTCAGGCAAGAAACAGACACAAAGTATCAAGCTAGAGAGTTAAAAGTTGCAATTTCATTAATCTTTATTTGGGGATTTGTTACATAGTTGGGGCTAGCAAGGAAATGAAAGGAGAGAGCACATTGCTGTGTAGAGTCCCTGGTTGAGCTTGCTGTTGGGGCACATTTCATCAGTTTGGCCCAATTTGGCATCCAGGAACTGCGGAACTCTCTGCTGCTGGTCACACCAGCTTGAAGGGAGGGGCCTGGGATGCCCTCGATGACAATGGTAGAACTGAGTGCCAAGTTTGGTTCAATTCCATCATTGGTGGGTTCAGAATGCTCTGTGATTGTAGGTGAACTATAAATCTCAGCAGCTACAGCTCCCAAATGTCAAGATTCTATTTTCCCCAAACTCCACCAGTGTTCACATTTGGGCATATTGAATATTCATGTAGAGTTTGTTCCAGATCCATCATTGTTTGAGTCCACAGTACTCTCCGGATGTAAGAGAACTACAACTCCAAAACTCAACGTCAATGCCCACCAAACCCTTCCAGTATTTTCTGTTGATCATGAGAGAACTGTGTGCCACGTTTGGTTCAATTCCATTATTGGTGGAGTTCAGAATGCTCTTTGATTGTGGATGAACTATAAATCCCAGCAACTACAACTCCCAAATGTCAAAATTCTGTTTCCCCCAAACTCCACCATAGAATAATAAAATCATAGAATCAAAGAGTTGGAAGAGACCTCCTGGGCCATCATCCAGTCCAACCCCATTCTGCCAAGAAGCAGGAATATTGCATTCAAATCACCCTTGACAGATAGCCATCCAAGCTCTGTTTAACAGCTTCCAAAGAAGGAGCCTCCACCACACTCCGGGGCAGAGAGTTCCACTGCTGAACGGCTCTCACAGTCAGGAAGTTCTTCCTCATGTTCAGATGGAATCTCCTCTCTTGTAAGTTGGAGCCATTGTTCCATTGCGTCCTAGTCTCCAAGGAAGCAGAAAACAAGCTTGCTCCCTCCTCCTCCCTGTGGCTTCCTCTCACATATTTATACATGGCTATCATATCTCCTCTCAGCCATCTCTTCTGCAGGCTAAATATGCCCAGCTCCTTTAGCCGCTCCTCATAGGGCTTGTTCTCCAGACCTTTGATCATTTTAGTCGCTCTCCTCTGGACACATTCCAGCTTGTCAATATCTCTCTTGAATTGTGGTGCCCAGAATTGGACACAATATTTCAGATGTGGTCTAACCAAAGCAGAATAGAGCATGGGGAGCAGGACTTCCCTAGATCTAGACACTATGCTCCTATTGATGCAGGCCAAAATCCCATTGGCTTCTTTTGACGCCACATCACATTATTGGCTCATGTTTAACTTGTTCCCCTCGAGGACTCTTAGATCTTTTTCACACGTACTGCTCTCGAGCCAGGCATTCTCCCCCCTTCTGTATCTTTGCATTTCGTTTTTCCTGCCAAAGTGGAGTATCTTGCATTTGTCCCTGTTGAACTTCATTTTGTTAGTTTTGGCCCATCATCTTTCTAATCTGTCAAGATCGTTTTGAATCCTGCTCCTGTCCTCTGGAATATTGGCTATCCCTCCCAATTTGGTGTCATCTACAAACTTGATGATCATGCCTTCTAGCTCTTCATTAATGACTTAATGAAGATCCAATACTCCAGAGGACAGGAGCAGAATTCAAAACGATCAGTGTTCACATTAGGGCATACTGAGTTCGTGTAGAGTTTGGTCCAGATCCATCATTGTTTGAGTCCACAGTGATCTCTGGATGTAGTTGAACTACAACTCCCAAACCAAAGGACACTGCCCACCAAACCCATCCAGTATGTTCTGTTGGTCATGGGAGAATTGTGTGCCAAGTTTGGTTCAATTCCATCGTTGGTAGGGTTCAGCATGCTCTTTGATTGTAGGTGAACTATAAATCCCAGTAACTACAAACATCAAGGTCTATTTCCCCCAAACTCCATCAGTGTTCATATTTGGGCATATGGAATATTTGTGCCAAGTTTAGTCCAGATCCATCGTTGTTTGAGTCCACAGTACTCTCTGGATGTAGGTGAACTACAACTCCAAAACTCAAGGTCAATGCCCACCAAACCCTTCTAGTGTTTTCTGTTGGTCATGGGAGTCCTGTGTGCCACGTTTGGTTCAATTCCATTATTAGTGGAGTTCAGAATGCTCTTTGTAGGTGAACTATAAATCCCAGAAACAACTCCCAAATGACAAAATCATATTTTTTGAGTGAAGGACATACATTGGGTTGTTAGGTGTCTTGTGTCCAAATTTGGTGTTGATTCGTTCAGTGGTTTTTGAGTTATGTTAATCCCACAAACAAACATTACATTTTTATTTATATAGATAATGCAATATAATACTAATAATAATTATAATTATATGTTTATATTACACATAATATAACTAATAATATTACAATGTAATGGTATAGTACAATATAAAAAGGTAAAGGTAAAGATTGTCCCCTGACATCAAGTCCAGTCATGTCTGACTCTGGGATGTGGTGCTCATCTCCATTTCTAAGCCGAAGAGCCGGCGTTGTCCATAGACACCTCCAAGGTCATGTGGCCAGCATGACTGCATGGAGTGCCGTTAGTAAATAGTACAATATAGTAACATTTAATACTGATATTGTACTATGTTAATAATACAATCTATATATATATAAATGCTCTGTGTGTAATGAGTACCTTAAAAACAAAAGAACCAATGAACAAAATCACACCAAATTTGGCAACAAAACGTCTCACAACACAAGGAGTGACGATCACTCAAAAAAAAAAAATGATTTTGTCATTTGGGAGTTGTAGTTGCTGGGATTTATAGTTCACCTACAATCAAAAAGCATTCTGAACTCCACCAATGATGGAATTGAACCAAATGTGGCACACAGAACTCCTATGACAAACATAAAACACTGGAAAGGTTTGGTGGGCATTGACCTTGATGGAGTTTTTCGGGGTTTACCTGTCATAATGTGAGTTGTATTTAATCCACAACCTTATACATGTTGTACAATTAAGAAATTGATTTTTTCAAATAACTCGGGCAACACAAAGTCCCTGAGCTAGTGTATATGTTTCTTTATGAGTTCTCCCTTGCAATTAATCTGCTCCTTTTTGGGTTTTTTTGTCTCTCCGAGTTTTAATATTTTATCTTGTACATGCACTCATTGTCACTGTGAATCTGATAATGTATTTATATATTGCTCATTGTATTCATATGTTTGTTTGTTTGTTTGTATTTTTTGTATTTTTGTGTGGTCTTGGTTTTATATTGTTATAATTTGTTGTTTGGGCTTGGCCTCATGTAAGCCGCCCCGAGTCCCCGTTGAGGGAAATGGAGGCGGGGTATAAATAAAGTTTATTATGTATTGTCGAAGGCTTTCATGGCCGGAATCACTGGGTCGTTGTAGGTTTTTTTGGGCTATATGGCCATGTTCTAGAGGCATTCTCTCCTGACGTTTCGCCTGCATCTATGACAAGCATCCTCAGAGGTAGTGAGGTCTGTTGGAACTAGGAAAATGGCTTTATACATCTGTGGAATAACCAGGGTGGGACAAAGAACTCTTGTCTGTTGGAGCTAGGTGTGAATGTTTCAACTGACCATCTTGATTAGCATTTGATGGCCTGGCAGTTTTTTGGTGTGGCTTGTTGGTGCCTGGGGCAATCTTTTGTTGAGAGGTGATTAAATGTCCCTGATTGTTTCCTCTCTGTTGTTTTGCTGTTGTAATTTTAGAGTTTTTAAATACTGGTAGCCAGATTTTGGTACACACAAACAAATATACCACTTATACAGAAAGTAAACAATAATAGAATTCAGCATGCAGTTATATAGACATGTCGTACTGTTCAATTTCACAGTGATATCAAACAATATTGTGTAAATTTTGTAACACGTGGTGTTTAATAGATATGTTCAACAAATTTTGTTATAAGACAAGTATTAAGACTTAGCAAGTTTCTTTAAGTGTATTCTAGTATATGATATTCAATATGTATGTAACTGTAGCAACATTTTGATTTCATAGAATCATACAATCAATACTTCCTCTATTCGGTTGTCTATTAACTTGTGGAAGAGACCTCCTGGGCCATCCAGTCCAACCCCATTCTGCCAAGAAGCAGGAATATTGCATTCAAATCACCCCTGACAGATGGCCATCCAGCCTCTGTTTCAAAGCTTCCAAAGAAGGAGCCTCCACCACACTCCGGGCAGAGAGTTCCACTGCTAAACGGCTCTCACAGTCAGGAGAAGTAATGCCGAAACTGGCCATGGGTGGCTGATCCATAAGCTACTCAACATAAGAAGATACGACACAGATATTATTTTAAAGAGACTGTACCAAAATTTACACAATATTGTTTGATATCACTGTGAAATTGAACGGTACAGCATGTCTATATAACTGCATGCTTAATTCCATTATTGTTTACTTTCTGTATAAGTGGTATATTTGTTTGTGTGTACATATTCAGGAACCTATTTATATTATACTGTTACAGAGCCAGATTTTGGTAGCCAGATAGCCAGAAAAATGAACAAAATCTGGCTCCCAGTATTAAAAAAAACTCTAAAATTACAACAGCAAAACAACAGAGAGGAAACAATCAGGGACATCTAATACCTCTCAACAAAAGATTACCCCAGGCACTGCCAGGCCATCAAATGCTAATCAAGGTGGTCAGTTGAAACATTCACACCTTGCTCCAGCAGACAAGAGTTCTTTGTCCCACCCTGGTCATTCCATAGATATATAAACCCTTTTTCCTAGTTCCAACAGACCTCACTACCTCTGAGGATGCTTGCCATAGATGCAGGCGAAACGTCAGGAGAGAATGCCTCTAGAACATGGCCATATAGCCTGAAAAAAACTACAACAACCCAAAGTTGTTTATTATTATTATTATTATTAGGGAAATGTTGCAAGATAAGAAAGGAAATACTTCGTCTATTCGGTTGCTATTAACTTGTGAAATTTCCTACCATAGGATGTGGTTTTGGTCACAATGAGAGAGGGGAAATGTAAAGATTTACGGAGAAAAAACGATCGGCCAAAATGGAGTAGGAGATGCCTTATCGATTCCCGTTTGCCCTGATCACTTATGGCAGCTTGCCTTTGTCAAAGGCGTTTGATTCAGCGTTGAATCGTGACTCTGTGATGTCCATTGGGTGGAAACCCTGTTTCTTCTTTGTCTTGAAGGTTCGGCTTGAGCAACAGGTTCGAGACAGAATTCCCATCGATTCTGACAGGGAAGGTAAGCCAAAACCTGAAATAGTAAAAAAAAGCTTCTTATTTTGTTTCCTTTTGGATGGGAAAAAGGAATAAGAGAGGGTGGAGGCTTATTCCTTCCAATAATGAACATGGAGAAAAACAGAACAGGTCACCAATATCCCTTTTATTTTTCCCCTTCTATATAAATAAAAATGTAATGTTCGTTTGTGGGATTAACAGAACTCAAAAACCACTGGATGAATTGACACCAAATTTGGACACAAGACACCTAACAACCCAATGTATGTCCTTCACTCAAAAAAAAAAAAAACCATGGAAAAATATAATATTATATCTTTTATAATACACACACACATCTGTTATAAGCTATAATTACAATATTTTATATATTACTGTTATATAGTTTACTATATAATATGTTACTATTATGTATTACTATATAACACAAATTAAATACTCATCGAATAGAGTTGGAAGGGGCAGTCGAGAAGTAATGAGAGGAGGAGGGAAAGAGGGAAGGAATGAAGGAGGGAAAGGGGGAAGGAAGGAGAGAAGAAAGAAAGATAGAGAAGGAAGGAAGGAGAAAAGGAAATAAAAAGGTTAAAGGAAAGAGAGAGAGAAGGAACGAAAGACAGAAAAAGGAATGGAAGGACGGAAGGAAAGAGAGAAGGAAGGATGTAACCAAAGAGCAAAGAAAGGGAGGAAAGAAACAGGCAGAGACAGAAGAAAGAAGAAGAGAAATAAGAAGGGAAAGAAAAAGAGAGAAGGAATCTGTAATTGGTTAAATGGACGAACCCAGAGGGTGCTCACCAATGCTTCCTCTTCATCCTGGAAAGAAGTGACGAGCAGAGTGCCGCAGGGTTCCCTGGGCCTGGTCCTGTTCAACATCTTTATTAATGACTTAGATCAGTGTTTCTCAACCTGGGGGTCGGGACCCCTATGGGGGTCGCGAGGGGGTGTCAGAGGGGTCACCAAAGACCATCAGAAAACATAGTATTTTCTGTTGGTCATGGGGGTTCTGTGTGGAAAGTTTGGTCCAATTCTATCGGTGGGGTTCAGAATGCTATTTTATTGTGGGTGAACTATAAATCCCAACAATTACAACTCCCAAATGGCAAGGCCTATTTTCTCCAAACTCTACCAGTGTTCACATTTGGGCATATTGAGTATTTGTGCAAGGTTTGATCCAGATCCATCATTGCTTGAGTCCACAGTGTTCTCTGGATGTAGGTGAACTACAACTCCCAAACTCAAGGTCAATGCCCACAAAACCCAGTGTTTTCTGTTGATCATGGGAGTTCGTTGTGCCAAGTTCGGTTTAAATCCATCGCTGGTGGAGTTCAGAATGCTTTTTGATTATAGGTGAACTATAAATCCCAGCAACTACAACTCCCAAATTACAAAATTAGTCCTCCCCCCAACCCCACTAGCATTCACATTTGGGTATATTGGGTATTTGTGCTCAATTTAGTCCAGTGAATGAAAATATATCCTGCATATCGGATATTTACATTACGATTTATAACTGCACAAAAATGACAGGTATCAAGTAGCAACGAAAACAATATTATGGTTGGGGGTCACGACAACATATGGAACTGCATTAAGGGGTCACGGCATTAGCAAGGTTGAGAACCACTGACTTAGATGAACAGTTAGAAGGCAGGATCATCAAGTTTGCAGACGACACCAAATTGGGAGGGAGAGCCAATACTCCAGAGGACAGGAGCAGGATTCAAAACGATCTTGACAGATTAGAGAGATGATTGGCCAAAACTAACAAAATGAAGTTCAACAGTGACAAATGCAAGATACTCCACTTTGGCAGGAAAAAACTAAATGCAAAGATACAGAATGGGGGACAATGCCTGGCTCGAGAGCAGTACGTGTGAAAAAGATCTTGGAGTCCTCGTGGACAACAAGTTAAACATGAGCCAGGAATGTGATGTGGCGGCAAAAAAAGCCAATGGGATTCTGGCCTGCATCAAGAGGAGCCTAGTGTCTAGATCCAGGGAAGTAATGCTCCCCATGCTCTATTCCGCTTTGGTTAGACCACTTTACCTGGAATATTGTGTCCAATTCTGGGCACCACAATTCAAGAGAGATATTGACAAGCTGGAATGTGTCCAGAGGAGGGCGACTAAAATGATCAAGGGTCTGGAGAACAAGCCCTATGAGGAATGGCTTAAGGAGCTGGGCATGTTTAGCCTGAAGAAGAGAAGGCTGAGAGGAGAGATGATAGCCATGTATAAATATGTGAGAGGAAGCCACAGGGAGGAGGAGGGAGCAAGCTTGTTTTCTGCTTCCCTGGAGACTAGGACGCAATGGAACAATGGCTTCAAACTACAAGAAAGGAGATTCCATCTGAACATGAGGAAGAACTTCCTGACTGTGAGAGCCGTTCAGCAGTGGAACTCGCTGCCCCGGAGTGTGGTGGAGGCTCCTTCTTTGGAAGCTTTTAAACAGAGGCTGGATGGCCATCTGTCAGGGGTGATTTGAATGCAATATTCCTGCTTCTTGGCAGAATGGGGTTGGACTGGATGGCCCAGGAGGTCTCTTCCAACTCTTTGATTCTATGATTGTATTCTATGATTCTAAGGCTTATTCTTTTTCCTCGGTCCATCCGGACAAGTTTCTCAGAATACTTGTCCCTTTTCAGTTCTTTTGAAAGGGTTTTGCACTCTTCCCCTGTAGCCCGCATGCTGGGGCAAGTTTTTCTCCTCGATCCTCATCTCCAGCCCTAAATCTCTGCCCTCCGCTCTCCTGTCACCTGGAGCAATCGGGGATCCTTTTGCGGAAGATGGGGGGAAAGGCCTTGCTTCCTGCCCGGAGCTTGAACAACAATGAGGGCTAATTCCGCGAGGGTCGAAATGGGTCTGCACAGAGGAGGCCATAAAAGGGAGCTTGGGCTTTGGGGTCCGGCCTCAAGGTGTGATTGATAGGGCCCTCCTCCTCCTCCTCCTCCTCGGACCCAGAGGCCTGCTGGCCTTTGCTTGTTCCTGCATCCTGTTGTAAAAGGTTATGGTCCTGCCCTCCGTCCCTTTTATGGGACTGGTCTTTGAGAGTGTTGTCTGGCTATGTTTTGAGTGTCCTTCTTTTCAAACCAGACGGATTCCAATGTTCTTAAAAGGAGTGGTTTTTATTCCCTGTTTGCTTGTTGCTTGTTGTCCATGTCAAAGGACATTTAATCAACTACCAAGATTGCAAACTTTGTGTTTTGTTTGTTTGCTTGTTAAAAAATGCAATTAATCATAGAACCAAAGAGTTGGAAGAGACCTCCTTGGCCATCCAGTCCAACCCCATTCTGCCAAAAAGCAGGAATATTGCACTCAAATCACCCCTGACAGATGGCCATCCAGCCCCTGTTTAAAAGCTTCCAAAGAAGGAGCCTCCACCACACTCCGGGGCAGAGAGTTCCACTGCTGAACGGCTCTCACAGTCAGGAAGTTCTTCCTCATGTTCAGATGGAATCTCCTCTCTTGTAGTTTGAAGCCATTGTTCCATTGCGTCCTAGTCTCCAAGGAAGCAGAAAACAAGCTTGCTTGCTCCTTCCTCCCTGTGGCTTCCTCTCACATATTTATACATGCACTGATTAAATAATGCAACTGTTTGGTCTGCCCCTGACACGATAAATAAAATGTTGTCCATGGGATGGAAGTCTTCCAGGGTGGAAGAATATCTCTTATACCTCAACCTTCTCCACTTTGCATATAGTCCCCCATCCATCAATTGGAGGTTCCTTCCACACAGCCATATAACCCAGAATAGCAGTGCAGATAATCCGCAATATCTGAATTGAACTGGGTTATCTGAAAGTGCTGAGAGTGCCTTGGACTGCGAGAAGACCCAACCAGTCCATCCTCCAGGAAATAAAGCCCGACTGCTCACTGGAGGGAAAGATACTAGAGACAAAGTTGAAGTACTTTGGCCACATCATGAGGAGACAGGAAAGCCTAGAGAAGACAATTATGCTGGGGAAAGTGGAAGGCAAAAGGAAGAGGGGCCGACCAAGGGCAAGATGGATGGATGGCATCCTTGAAGTGACTGGACTGACCTTGAGGGAGCTGGGGGTGGTAACGGCCGACAGGGAGCTCTGGCGTGGGCTGGTCCATGAGGTCACGAAGAGTCGGAGACGACTGAACGAATGAACAACAAATCTGAGTCCATACTGCCATATATCCCAGTCCAATGTGAATTTTTATTCTTTACTAGCTTGGGGACCCAGTGCTTCCCGGGATATTTGAGAAAGGAATTGTGTATCAAGGTTGGTCTATCAGTTATTTATATGGCTCGCAGTTACTTATATAATAATAATAATAATAATAATAATAATAATAATAATAATAAACATTTATTTATACCCTGCTACCATCTCCCAAAGGACTCAATGCGGCTTACAATAGGCCGAGACCAAATACAACAATAAAAGACAACAACAATACAGCAGTAAATAAAAATCAAACAGTAAACATTAACAATAAACATGACACAGTTAAAACAAATGTCAGGGCCAAATGTAAAGGTCATAGAATCATAGAATCAAAGACTTGGAAGAGACCTCGTGGGCCATCCAGTCCATCCCCCTGCCAAGAAGCAGGAATATTGCACACAAATCACCCCTGAGAGATGGCCATCCAGCCCCTGTTTAAAAGCTTCCAAAGAAGAAGCCTCCACTACACTCCGGGGCAGAGAGTTCCACTGCTGAACGGCTCTCACAGTCAGGAAGTTCTTCCTCATGTTCAGATGGAATCTCTTTTCTTGTAGTTTGAACCCATTGTTCCCTTGCGTCCTAGTCTCCAAGGAAGCAGAAAACAAGCTTGCTCCCTCCTCCCTGTGGCTTCCTCTCACATATTTATGCATGGCTATCATACCTCCTCCCAGCCTTCTCTTCTTCAGGCTAAACATGCCCAGCTCCTTAAGCCGCTCCTCATAGGGCTTGTTCTCCAGACCCTTGATCATTTTAGTCGCTCTCCTCTGGACACATTCCAGCTTGTCAATATCTCTCTTGAATTGTGGTGCCCA